GAACTTCCCATCAGCGGCACCTCTGTTGGATAAGCCTCGGGAAAAGGGAGCTCAAAGATGTGGTCCTGTTAGGTCAGCCTGGGACAGGGTGTGGGTGGGGAAGGGATCTCCAGGGACAAACAGGAGCTGTCCAGCACAGGGTCTCCCTGAAAGGTCGTGCACTTAACCATGCAAACTCTGCCTCCAAATCCTTCTGTCCTCCCTCATTCGGCAAATCGTCCTGGCTTGGCTCCTCTGTGCCAGGCAGTTTGCTTTGGAGGATTCAGAGATGAGTAAGCTGTGATTCCCGCCTTGAAGAGCTCGGGTTCGCGGTCGTCAGAGACTGTGTCAAACGTTTTTCACTTACTATTTTAACTATCATTTTGTCTCCCTTTCCTCCCAGGCAGGACTGCATTTCCACCCAAACATCCAAACACTCCTCAAATCTTGTTCCATTCTATTTCTCAGTTTCTCTTGTTTCTACAGACTTCTCCTCTGTGTTCAGCTTCTGTTTGCCAGCCTTGAACTCTACTGAGGTGAAGCGAAAAACCTAAGAAATGTTCAGATGTCACTGTTATTATTTTATCTCATTAGGTCTTTGAAAAAGAAAAGAGACAAAGTTGGAGAAAAACACTCTTTCTCCTTCAAGAGAAATAAAAAACCAAAAGGCCTAGAAAGGTCTGCCCCGACCCTACCTACCTGTCCTCATTGGAATAAATTGCATTTTACTCCTGCTAGGAGCTGTTTGCAGTCAGTGAGGAAGGCACCATTGAAGATTTCTAGGTAATTCCATAAGTGGATTGAATGTAAGTGCTCTCATTGCTTTAGCTTGAAAGAGCTGGAATTGTTCTGGGAGCAAAATGGAGGAAACTTAGCTAACACCCTTGGTCATTTATTAGTGTGTCCAGAGTAGTTTTTTTGTCTTTGATAACCTCCTTTCCCCCACAGCAGTGGAGAGATCCTCACAGCACTGGAATTTTCCTCTCAGTGTTTGCTAAATGCTTCGAAAGCTAGGCCTCCCACTGTCCAACCCCGAAGCAAACAGGCCTGAAAGGACCCCTTGTGAGAAGCCAGATGTTTAGAAATAGAAGCTGTAAGGGAAGGGATCTGTTGCATTTACCAGGAGGTGTGTCCACCAAAAGGGGAGAGACAAGCTCTTTAGTTTAGGAAAAAAAAAAAAATTCATTTGAAGTTATCTGAAAGCCACACTCAGTTGAAAGATCAGAGTTGAAGATGAGACCATATTGGAAATTAGCATTGCTAATGATGTTCTCAGAGAATCACAGATCATTTTAATCTGTTTAACCTTCTCCAGAAATACCCAACGTAGAGAACACTGTACTATTTTTAATAGTCTAATAACGGGTAAATGTTATTTTTAAGGCAGTAGCGACAACGCTAATATTTTTCTCAAACAAGAACCATCAAACAGTGGCAGATTGCTTTATTTTGTCAGTTCCGGTGGCATGTTAGAGAGTGGTAGCCAACTGTCTGAACTGTCGGATAGAATGGAAGGTAAGGACAGTCTAAGGACTGACAAGACTGTTCGCTCTCTGATGACAAAAGTACGGTCAGGTATCCAAATTTCAGCTGTTCTGTGTGCGCCCGGATGAACTGACCCCGGGAACCCAAGCTTCTATAAAACGCCTGGTCAGTCTGGTTCACGAAAGGAGCTCTCCACTCCCTTTGACACGGCCTCCACTGAAGTCAGTATGGTTCAGGAATCCGCAACCTTTCAAGAAGCTTCCTTGAATGAGGAAGTACAGACGGTCTGTGTCCATTAATAGGGAGGAGTCAGTCACCTTTGTTCACCTGCACTGTATGTCAAGGCCAGGCTCTTTTGATAAGCAGGTTTCTTTGCCTCTGTCTCGAGCCTATCTTGTTCTCCTGTTGACTGATTGAGTCATTCATGAGATGTTCTTAAGCATCAGCTATGTGCCCAGCCTTCTCTTAAGCACTGAGGATACGGTGTTGTTCAAAACAAATGGACTTCCTACTTTCCCAGAGGTCATCTCCTAGTGAAAGAAAATAATCAGTAGTGAAATAAAGAAGGAAATAAGCAAGAACGAATCAGGCAATAAGAAGTACAGAAAACCCGTATCTCACACACACACCACCACCACCACCACCACCACAACAAAATACAGGGTAACGTGAAAGGGAGTGACTGGGAAGAGAGAGGATTTGTTTAGGTCTGGTGGTCAGGGAAGAAGGACCCCCTGAAGAGTGGACAGTAGAACTAAGAATCCAGTGACAGAGGAAGAGAGCGGGCAAAGATCTGAGGAAAGAATGTTCCAGGCAGAAGAAAGAGGAAGTGCAAAGGTATATGACTGAAATACTATTCTTAGATGGGATATACGATCTAATTTATGCTTCAGATAGCTCAATCTGGGTAACACGTGGCAAGTGATTTATTGGGATAAGAGCAAAGGCAGACATACCTGTTGGGGTCGACTGCTGTGGTCCAGGTGAGAGGTGAGCGGAGGTGGGTGATAGCCGTGGAGATGTAGAACACGTTAACACTTTGTCTGGAACAAAACAGCAGACAGAACAGCGAACCCTAGCTGCGAAGCAGAATCAAACTATCAGTCTCAGAACCTTATCTAGTCCAAATGGACCCAAAAAAACCTTTAGAGATCACTCAGTGGAAACCCTTCGATTTAACTGTGACAAAACCCGAAATGTGGACAAATGAGTGGACAGGCTCAGGGTCACCGAGCAGGCCAGGAGCCATCAGAGACGGAGCCTCACACCTCCCATCTTCCAGGGGCTTAAATAAGGTCAAGTCCGCACAGACGGCAGCTGAGCCCGGCCGTAGGCTTTGTCTGCTTTGTAGACGCCCCATCTACACCTTGGGGTTCCCAGTCTGTGTGGTGTGGATCTGAGCAATGGGGAGAGCTATGGAGGTATTTCAGGGTCCAAGTATCCATATACAAATTATGCCCGTGCAGGGTGAATACATAAAAGTGTAAATGCCATGATACAGCATCTAAAGCAGAGGGGTTAACAGCTTGGAGCCCGGATCCCACTAAGTACACACCTTGCCTTTACCAACTGCCGATAAGTTACTTAACTCTTGGGGTCTTGGTTTCCTCTTCAGTAAATTGGAATGAATGTAGTAACTCTTCATAGTTTTGTGACGCCCACGTACAATAACATACTTATACCAAAAAAAAAAAAAAAAAAGAGAGAGAGAGAGAAACCAAAAAAAAAAAAACAAACCTACTTAGTACCTGACACAGAGCAGATATTCAAGAAATGTTTGCCATTATTATACAGAAGACAAAATTCCTTTTCTCTCCCTGGAAACGGGGCTCTTAATATTCCAAACCGATGAAAATGACTCCCTCTCCACCCTGAAGAAACTGTTCGGTGTGTTTCTCCTCTATGGGTACGTGGCCGGGACTGTGGCCTCTTTAACTTGAACGCTGCTGGTCACCGGCCCCCCGGCAGGAACCATGCCCTTTGGCGCAGGAAGACTCTCCCTACAGGCAATCTTTCGTTCATTTATTCTGCAAACGTTTACTGAGAGCCAACTGAAATTCCTGGTGGTTCTCAGCCTCTTTTTCCTGCTTCAACTGTGTTCATTTGCTTAATTTACTCCCCTGAGTCACTTCTTGTTGAAATGCAGCGACGTTTCAATCGGCAGGTGAGGGGTGGCAGCGGGGAGAGTGGGGAAGGGGAGGAATGAGGTTTCTATCGGAATTTCAAAGGGGCCACATCCAGCTGGAAGCTTTCATGAGTATCCTGATGGGTGATGTGTGAGGAACAGGCAGATCACAGGAGGAGAAGGAGGAGGAGGAGGAAGAAAAAGGCGGCTGGAGGATCCTGAGTGCATGGAAAGCACTGCCTTTGCCATTTTTTGTTTCTTCCCCTCCTCCTCCCCCCACAGATCTCTGAGATGTTAGTGTGCCCATTTCACAGAGGACAAACTGAGGCTCAGAGACTTAAGGTACTTCCTAAGTCATGTGATGAGCCAGTGGTAGGCTGGTGATGGAACCCAGGTTGCCTGACACCTCATCAGGTTCTGTTTGTCTGGTCCGCCAGCCCCCCTTGGTACTCTGTGGATGGAGAAGGAAGAGGGAGGAGGGAGATTGGTGATGGTCATGATGGGTGTGGAGTGCTGGTGCTGGTAAGAGAAAGAGATGGAGAGAGGGACCCAAGGAAAGACTCAGCACAGATCTGAATTAATAACCACCGATCAAAAGCCTGGCCAGCCAAGGTGAGTTTCGGTGGGGCCATCACCAATGGCACAAAAGATAAAGCACTGACACTTAGGCCAACCTAACGCTATTCCTATGCCATGTGAGGTCCTGAAGTAGGGAGCGTGAGGGCAAGAAGGATGCAGGTTTCTTCCGCCTTCACTGTGGTGTAGACCCCTGAGAGAAGGCCCTCAGGAAGGCAGTGAGAGGAGAGCACGGCCCCGTGGGCAGCCTCTCCGTGCCTTTAGTGCCAGTCCCCCCAAAACACGTTGCCTTGAGATGCCACGATTTTGGCCCCTTGAATTAGTCGACCTCATCTCCCTCCTGCAGAGGCCCATTTGGAGACAAAGCAGACCCAGGTCACACTGAAACCTCTGAGACCTTTGATTTTCAGATCTTGCAAGGGAGACCTGGAGTCACACTCCTGCGACAAATTAGCAACCAAGTCATAATTTGTCCCTTCCCCAGTTGCCAGAGCCTGAAAAGCCTGTCTTCCACTACTATCACCCTTAATGATTATTTATGGGTGGTGTGTGAATTTCCCAAATGGGGATCATGCATAACATCCAGGCATTTCCATAAAAATGAGGGCCATTTTTTTTGTAACAAACATATACACATTTTCTTAATCTATGCAAATCTATTCAGAGGAATTTTATAAAACTGCCACTTCCCACCCGCATCCTGGACACACAAAATCCCCAGCTCCCAGTGTATTGCTGAGCGCTGAGTTGAGGGAGGAGGGGGCTCGTGGAGTCCAGGGGGAGATGGTGCTCCCGGGCTGATGCAGCCGGCTTGCGCAGAGCAGTCCGTCCCGCGCTTGCAGTTGGGAGTAAAGAGCCAAGTGTGGGATGGTAACCGCCTCCCAGAGAAGGCAGCCTTTCACCGGAGAGAAGTATCAGGTTGCTGTACTCCGGCTGTGGGTTGTCACTGTCTAATAATATGACCGTTTTGCCATCTCTCTGCAAATAAGGCAGCAGCTGCTACCTGATTGGTATAACATCTCACTTTCCCTCCTCATTGATTTTCTTGTTCTCCTCCTTTGCTTCATAAAAAGAGGGACCAGTGGCTGGTGCTGTGGACAGAGAAGCTTGATTTTTAGTATGAGACAGCCTCTGTTTTCTTTCAGGAGAGGGAAGTTGGATTATCAATTCTTTTGTAAATGTGTATGGTGATATTTGCTCCGGTAAGTTTCTCTCTCTCTTGATTAACAGCTGGCTGGGGGCGTGTGTGTGTGTGTGTGTGTGTCTGTGTCTGTGTCTGTGTGTGTGCATAGGTACATTTAGGCTGCATAGTCCCTTATCTCTCCAAATATCATTTTTTGAGATCTTTAGTGATAACGTCTTTTTTTTTTTTTCCACTTTGCTTGCTTGTATTCACATGTTTAAGCCGAAGAGCTGTGCTGAGTGAGAGTGTGATGCTTTACCGTAGTTGTTGAAGGATCTGCTGGGTTTCTTTTAACACAGTAAGGAAACTATTTAAGCAAACTTATATTTGGCTTCATAAAAATGTAATGTCATCCTGCCTCGCACCAGGAGTGTTTCACGTCTGAAGTATATTCATTGTGCCGTCACCTGCATACCATTTTAATTCAAGTTTCTTCCTTAGTGTCAGAGCAAGAATTTCTGAAACTCCATAAATAGCTTCCAAATACTGTATGCTGTGCCAAAAGGGGTGTGCTAATTTCATGAAGTCTTAGACCAAGGCAGGGTGGATGAGATGAGTTTCCTCCGAGATCAGGTAACACGCACCTTTAAAACAGCTGCATTTATGAAAAGTGTTCAAATCATTAAAGTAAATCTCTGGAATTCTGTGAAAAGATGGAATCACAAGTGGCTGTTACTTCTCTTCTGTCTTTCTTTGCACTGTGTGTTTGTGCCACCATCTGTCAGATGCCCAGCCCTGGCTCTCCTGTTTCTATATCTGAAGCTGATCAGGAGAAAAGTTGCCATTATTAAATTCAAACTAGCGCAAAACCATGATCTATTCACCACTGCTAGTAAGGATTTTTAAATGCATTACCTGGTTAACTGGTTTTGTTTTTCCTATTTTTTTTTCAGGGAGTATTAGAGGGTCTGGATTCTTTGTTGTTATTTCAGAAGTCTGGAGAAAATCTATTAATATAATTATCCTAGACAGAGATGATAAGACGATTAAGTAATTGCTCTAATGGAAACAAACTGAGGCTTTAATCTCCTCTTTTTGTCACACAAATCTGCGTTATCTTTTTCATGGTGGAATGAATTGGAGAATGTATTTATAACGAAAGTTAAAGACACCATGGAATGAGAAGCAAGAGGAGGTCTGATTATGTGTTTTTCAGAGATTTTGGAAGGCAAGTTGGGAAAGTCATGTGTGCTTAGGTCTCTTAAGCATAGAATCTTCTTCGGAAGAGCAATGATTCAGATCCTGAAGTCGCCTAGGGCAGCTCATGAAAATACCAGTGTCTGGAAATCTAGGAATGTGGTCCCACGTCTGCTTCTTTGGTGGCATTCTGCCCCTCACACACCCTTTGCAAGCCGGAATGAAACTACTCATTCCAACAAATAGGATTTTGAATTTCGGTCAGTGTAGTTCAACCTCAAAAAGAGTTCAGCTTCAAAAATCCTACCAGCCCGTATGAACTCACATGGCCTCTTACTGGTCACAAGAAGCATGTCCCTAATTACAGCCTTAGTTGTCATCAGCCCCTCCCTGGAACCAGGTGTTCCTTTGCTGATCGTTTGTTGAAAAAAGGACAGAACTTTTATCCCTGGGCTGTTGGCATTTAGTGCTAAGTCAACATCCATCTCTGTCTCCCCAGAGTCCACATCCCCCAACATCCTTTACTATTTTTGTCAGTGTTCTCTTTTCATGGCTGTTGTAACAGGTTATGAGCAAAGTCAGTAGCTGTAAATGGAGTTGATCACCCTCTGAAGCTGTTTAGTAGTATAAATTAATGAAGATGTGAGGGGGGTGGCATCCTGCATGTGAAAGCATCCGTCTTTTCCTCCAGGTTGCCAGTTTACAAAACTGTGAAGCATGCTGGCACCCACTGACATAGGCAGGGCATCAGGGTATCTGGGCCTTGAAGAGGTCAAGATCTTTTGTGTCACTTAGGATAAGCATGCCTGGTCTTAAAAGCATCTCTTTGGAAAAGTCTGGAACGCCACCACCAAAGAACTGTTGTCAGCAATTCCAAGGAATAAAAATCTCTGCCACATTCGTGAGAATGACGAAGGGGATTTTTATCTCATGATGGGACCATTGTTTCTTTCTAGCGAGATGAAGAATGCCGTTACCATCGGTTCCATTTAGTGAGCACCGACTGTATGCCTGGCACTGTGCTAAAAGCATGTCCGTGGGCTTATTTCCTTCCATCTTCACAACCCTCCCAGGAGGGACGTAACATTGCTTCCCCATTTTACAGATAAGAGAACGGAGCCAGAGGGCAAATGTGCAATTTGTTTGAGGCAGCACAGTGAGGACTATGAAACTCAGAGCCAGGCAGGCTTGTTCCATAGTCGAGCTGCTCACCTCTCCCCTCCACCAGGGGTTCACTTCTTCGGTGCAATCTACAGCCAACTGGTAGACTGCAAGGGTTCGTAGGGGCTTAACAATTACACACCATGTTTTCGTTAGCGCTCTTCTCCCTTCTGGTGCTCCAGAGCCTCCTCCTTCTCAGACTGTGCTTTTGTGACTCCGAGCTAATTATGTGTTTGAAACTAGAGAACGTGTGCAGCTACTGAGATGTGGATGCGACGGAAAGGAGCCAGCCTAGGGAGAGCTATAGGCAGAAGGGGCTAAATGAAGGGAGCTTTTTTAAATTGAGCAAAGGAAATCCATCCCTTTGGTTTTCAGTCTTTGGAAGATACAGTCAAAGTAAAGATGTGATGATAACACAAATATCAGTATATCGAGGTATCTGGTTTGTCACTGATGCAAAATGTAAAAAGCAGTTGCTAGTGAATTGATTTACTTGTGGGGAATTTGTAGAGTCCTCCCCCCCTTTTTTTTTTCACTCACCCCCAGCATGATTTTCTTGCACCCTTTGGCCAGCAGAAAAGGGCTGAGGTGGCACTTCAGGTAGAATATTGCAAAACATCTATACCACCTGGGCACTTGAAAGATGAAAACAGCTGCCAATAAGCATGCCGAGAAGCGTGACAGGGTTGAAATTCAGAGTCCCCAGATGCATTCTTCTGCACCTGAGCGCTGAACTTCCCACCTGAAATCCATTTAATCCACTAAAATTCAAATGAATCTTTTAGGGGGAAAATGCACCTGGCATAGGATCAGTATGTTTGGAATTTCTCCTCCACTGGCAGTTTTCAGACTAGAGACAGGGCACACCCATCATGAGGTGAGTCTGTGAAATACTGCATTTCCTTCCCTCCAGTGAGAGGGAAAGGATTGTGAGTGATGGAAATTTGCTAGAAGATAGAACCTAGATTAGGACCCTCTTGCTGTATTTCATCCAAAACCAGAAGGATCTAAATATATGATTGGACAAATGAACAAAAACAATCCATCACAAATTGGGAGCATTAAGAGTCAAGTTTTAAAGTGTTGACACAGTATTGACTTCTCGGTATGATCTGCTGCATCTCATAGCAGTAGCTTCTGAGTCACCCCTACTGTAGAACCTGGTTAATTAAAAGAGTTCAGAGTGCAGTGCTCAATAAGGTATGTGTCCCAAATGATAGTCATTTTTTTGTCAGAGGCGAGGTTGGCAACTTATTCTCTATTACCTCTTCTTCTTGCTCTTAAAAAAATAATAATTGGATGGTTTAATCAGAGAGTGTGGTACTGGAGCCAGTCAGGATCAAGAATTATCCTGAGGAAGGAATTGAAATCAACCTGCATTTTGCCAACAGCATTCATGAGGGTTCTTAACATATTAACAGTTACCCAATGAGCACTTTTACTTTAATGATTGGTGGTGTACTCAGCCACAGCATTCTTCAAATACAGGCTAGCCCTGAAAACTAAACTTTGGAGACAATTTTATAAAGTGTATCATATTTCAGTCTCCATCTTCAAGATAGAGCTTTCTCCTGAGAGGTGACCAAATCCAAAATAAATCACATTGGAGATTGTGTTTCTTCTTACCTCTGTTTCTTTCTGCCTTGTCTTTGCCTGTGGGTGTGTGGACTTAAACGTGTTGATCCTTAAGAGCTTAAAAATGACCTGTTAAGTCTGGAGAGAGCATGTGGTGCTAGGACTTAACGGTTGTGGGACGAGGCCTGAATTTGTCATCAAACATCCTAAGCTGGTATGCAGATAGAGCTGGTGGTCCTGGTCCATTCCTGTCTTAGGAGATGGGATCAGGGGGGCTTTTGAGCCTGAAATGAGCGCATGAAGTATTCAGTCCTCCAGAAGAGGCTCTCGGTCAGTGGTGTGTCTTTAAATGTTTAAAGATTAGGGACGAGTTGAAAATGGAAACACCTCGGTCTCTACCCTGCAGACTAATGGATCTGCATAATTAATATATTTTACAGTGATCTTTTCTTTTTAATACAAATTTGAGCCAAAAGTCCTAATGAAAAGTTGGTCCTGGGCAACTTCAAACACAGTCCACTATAGTTTCTGGAAAGCTTGTTCCCAACACAGGGCAGTCAGCTCACCGTGAAGCTTTGGGCTGGCCAATATAATAAGTGGGCAGTCGTATCGTTACCGTCCCCGGGGGGACCAGCATGTTGGGCGTAAGAGGCTTCTGTTGATAGTTCCCGTGTGACTCTAGCCCTGCTTACAGAATCTTTAAATCCTCCCGAATGACCACACATTGTCTCAAGTGTAGACTTTCTGACAAAAATATGACCAATATTTTAGGCTTGTTTTATTTTTCTGGTGAAATGTGGCTTTAAGAACATTGGTACCCAATATAGATTCTTACTAGGAGGACTTTCTAAGTCACCGTATTGACATTCATCTCTCAGTGATGAACCCACGTGTCTTTATCTAGCTTTGGATCTCCGTAAGGGAGGAGAATGGATATTATTTTTCAAAACCCATGGCATTCACTTTGCCTTCCTGTGAAATTGAATGCTTGAGACCAAAAAAATAGGTTTTTTTTTAATTGTGGGCAGATTTAAGGGGAGGATTGGAGTTGCACAGGCTATTCTTTCACTCAGCAATATTTAAGGATGCCTACAGCGTGCCAGGTACCACGCTGGGTGTGGGAGATACTGTGATAACCAGAGAGAC